CAACCAATAAATGATTAATTAAGTGCATGTACATATGTGCATGTATATACCTCTTGTTGGTATTTAGTGACTGAGTCATTACCAGTAGCAGTAAAGACATCATTGCTTTCTTCATTACAATAATCCACTTCATCAGTTTCCTTAAGAGCAGGATCTACAAGAATAGATACACTCATACACATGTACATGAATATGAAAAGAAGGAAAGAGGTCCGTGTAGAAGGGAGAGAGAGAGAGAGAGAGAGAACAAGAAAATGACCTGGTAAAATGGTTTCTCTGTCTATAGTTTTGACGACCCAAATCTCTGTATCAGATACAGCAGTGGTAGACCTTCTCTTTTCCATTTTCTAAGAAATAAATTAATTATAAGTGAGCTAGTACAGATAATGGAAATTTACTATACTTACTGGTTTGAATATTTCTAAATGAAATTGCTCAAAAATTTGTCTCAATTCATCGGAGAGACTCAACTCAAGGCGAGAGACACGCAGCGTGACCTTCTCAAGTGATGAAGACAAAATGTAATGAAACTCAATGGAAGTAGGAGGGACAACCTGAGAGAAAAATGAAAATTAATAATTAATAATGCAACTATCCACATCATCAAGAGTAAATAATATTTAAAGTAATAATTTTATTAAGTCAAGAATTAGAAACAAAGTTAACATATGTACATGTACATTACACTGTATGCATAGTACCTGGTTTAATGGTAAAACTGATTCTCCATATAGACAAAGATTAACTCTCAGCTGACAGGGAGAGAGAGTGAGTCCATGATAATTGGGTTTACTAGTGTAATCCAACAGAGCAGCATGAGAAGCAGGATCAGTCTTCAATGAATGAAACTATAACAGCAAACACAAAAAATAAATGAAAATAGTTTAAATTAGATCTACTGTACCTCTACAAATACTCCTGGAGTTAGTATCTCCTGTGGTTCAGGATTCTCCAGTACAGCCAATTTACAGTCATCTAGTGTTAGCCTCAGATTGAACGCAGGACGAGGAGGAGGAGGAGGAGGGGGAGGGGGAGGAGAGAGAGGGGGAGGTGAGAGAGGGTAGGTAGGAGAGAAACCAGAGGGTGAGAGGGGATGAGGAGGAGAGAGAGGGTGAGGAGGAGAGAGAGAATGAGGAGGAGAGAAAGAAGGAGGGGAAAGTGAAGAAAAGGAAGATGAAACAGCCCCTCCTCTCTCATTCCCAAGCTCTGGTGGTAGCAATAGCTGATCAGGTAATGTAGAGACAGTGTTGGCGACATTAGGTCTGTCAACTTGTATCGACTGTCTCCCAACGACTGTTGATTTCCTGATCATCCTTCTAATAGGAGTTGCTACAGGTATTAACAAAACAATATAACAGCAACAACAATAAATGGACTGTACGTACTGACAGCATTGACTACGGTGCTTTTGCTCCTTGCGTGTCTCCATTTTCTTCTCACTGCACTTGTCTCCTTTAGCTGACACTGTCTTAGAAATGATATCGAAGAATTTATGAAGTTTGGCCAGAGGCAAAGACACACGCAGTTCATGCCACCAGTGACTATAAAATATAATAATTTATAAATTTAAATAATAATTGCCATATAACATGTATATTAGCAAGAGTATTATTTACTCTTGACTTTAGTTATTAAATTTTAAATTCTGCAACACAAATTTATAATTCCTTCATCCTCTTTCTAATCTCTTCTTTCATTCCATATTTACTTTTCATTTCTCCATCTTCTTCTCTCACTAGTTTCCATCTTATTAAAGAGGTTGATGATGATGTCTTCACGACTTCATTTGAACCTTTAGATCTTCCCAGTATTCTAACAATAATAATAATGATAAACATTTTATCCTCCCAGGATCAAGCAATAACATAAATATTGACCCCAATCATAAGAAAAAGATATGATTTAAAATGATGAAAACTTTGATGCATCCCACATGTACATGTACATGTACATCTACTACATGTACATGTACATGTGTACATGTACATGTACTAAGCAGGAAACTCATACATAAAAACAGTTCTTGTAACAGAAAATGTTGCTATAGAGTAGCAGGTCTACATGCACATGTACATGTACAATATGGTATACTGTACATTATAAGTAATTAATGCACTTTACATGTACATGTATGTGTACATCGTGTATACATGTACATGTACCTCCAGTTTCCATGGTAATTATCGTCAAGAGATCCTTCAACTCCAGCAACCTCATCAATGAATCCTTTAAGCCACACCTTCCTACTCCTCCCACTCACTTTATAACCAAACGTACTCTCCACCTTTTCGAGCTTGACTGTCGCCATCGTCACATTCTCCTGATCCTGTTGGCTGTACAATAGTTTCAATAACCAGTCATTAATAACTAGTTTAATTAGCGGAGACGTTGATGGGATGGATCCATGCTGTACATGTACATTGTCGTCGATAGAAGAGGAGGAGGAGGAGGAGAAAGAGGAGGAAGAAGAGGAGGAGAGGTCTGATGTTCCTTTTTTGCGATCGTATGCTGTTCTTTCTGGTAGCTTAAGAGGCTCTGGCTCACTGAAATTAGCACTGAACAGGGCAGGAATATTGGCTAGACCTTGAGGGGTAACTGACATCTGAACAGGGAGAAAGAGAGATGGGGAAGGAGAGAGAGAGGGAAGATAGAGAAGAAGGAAATAACAAATAAATTGGTAGAGGAAGGTAGCATAGTGTACTGTATGTACCTCTAGGTTTGGTATGGTTAGTTTCCATGGTGGCGGTGGTACTACTTTTGCTTCGGAGGAGAACGGATAATGAACGTGATTGTATGTAAAGGATAACTCATGAGCTTTAGCTACTGTAGTCGCTTCATTAATAAATATCCTACATAATGAATAAAGCATCATTAGCTGCATTCATGTGTATAAAGATGGGGTTAAAGTAATGTATTTAAATTAGGTTAAGAGTCACAATCATGTAATCAAAGCACTGCTACACGTACTTTGCCATTTCTGCCTTAAAATATTCATTACAATCCAATTTTGATCAGAATCAGCTTAAACTTTATACAAAACATAAAAACATGTATATGCATAAAAGAAAATATAATTCTCTCCTAGCCATAGCCATATTTGATGAAATACCCAGTACTATAGTAAAGGATCTTTGGCCCACTTTTTGAGGAACTTTATAAATTCAATTTTTATCAGAATGAGCATATTACTCTTATTATTTATATGATACATAATGAATCACTTACCACTCCATCAATACAGTGCTAGTGTCCACATTAATGCTAGTTTCAATACCAGGCCCTGCATTAGAAGCATCAACTAGCCTACTATCAATACAACCTGTGTCTGGTTCCTCAATCTCATCAAGCTCTTCCTCCTCTTCTTTGATGGTTGATAGTTGTCGGTGTGATCTCGATCTGTTGGTGTAGGTGATGCTAATGGAGTCACTGACTGATAACTTGACTGTCTCTTCAAGATTGTTGCTGTCTTTTGGTAGCATGAGAGATGGGCTCTCCAAATGTACATTAACTTTATATGACCAAAGCAATGCCATTGACTATACGAAGAATTGAAAGAGAGAGAGAGAGAGATGGGGGAGAGAGGGAGAGAGAGGGAGGGAGAGGGAGGAAGGTCAAAAGAGAGAGGGAGATCAACTAGTGATTTGAATCAGCAATTGGAGAATTATAATTGTAATTGAAAAAGTATTACACATACAGTGTACAAGTACATGTATCTTCCTCACAATAAATTACCGGCACTATTATACATTAATTACTAATGAAACATGAGAGCCTCATATACCTTTTGTTTTTGGGGCTGACGTGGAAATGTTCTAGCCTTCTTGACTGTCATGACGGCAGCCGCTAACTTAACTTTAATACTTTCAACAAGTTCACTCCAGTAGTGCCACAACTCCAACAAGAATGACTACAAAATACACACAAACAAACTCTATCAATTTCCCCGTAACAACTACTACAATGCAGTACATGTACATGTACATGTACATGTGTATGTACATGTACATGTGTATGTACATGTACATGTGTATGTACAGGTGTTCAATGACAGAGTCTACCATCCTCTGATGTGGTAATGGACTATAATAACAGTGTCCGACCCACTAGAGCCTTTTAGCATGAAAAGGGTATAAAAGGAGAGAGAGATAAAGGGTCAAAGTCATCAGACAGCATTTTGAGTATTTCTTGGTCTCTCCGTAGAAACCAAATTTTTGAAAGGACTGCAAAGTCCTGTAATCAGCCATTAATTGAAAAAATTACTACATCACAAAGAAGTGACTTTCACACAGCCATGGTCTACAAAACTATATAAGTCAGCTAGGCTCAGACTTAATATGCTACTGCACATGTCACTGTTTTGTTTAAAATGTAGTTTTGGTAGCCATTTTAAATAAAAAACTAGAGGTTGTTCCTATATACATGTACATGTACATGTAGTGTGACAAAGGCATGTTATACTAATATACATGTAGTTTACTCGTGCT